TGTGCAGTATTTGGCACCCTGACACGGTTACATTGCTTCTGATTACAGACCTGCCATGACTAAGCAAGGTCTCAAGGTGCTGTGATTCATCCTTTGTGTTCTCAAATGCACAGGGCAAGTGGAAACAAGGTGAACTTTGTATGTAACCTCCAGACCAGGGCTGCATCTACCGAAAAATGTTACAACTAAAACTCCATCATTACATTAGTGCTCCAAATTCAGAGTATATTTTTGATAAGACTATTTTTATGAATATACTAATCACTGGAAAAAAATCAGGTTAACTTCCACTGTGAAACCATTGTTCTGTAAGAGCTGAAAATATGTGAACAGTAAAAAACCAGTTTAGCTTCATTGCCAAATAAATAACACATGAGCTATTGAACTATCTGCATTCTTGATTTTTCACTGAAATAATTTAAAAGAGACCACTAAAATTACTATTTTGATGACACCTCCACGAAAATTCAGATGTTGAACATGATTTTTACAATCCAAGAGCAAAGTGAAGGGCTAGGGGCCAAAATAAAACTGAAAAGTGGCAGTACATTTTATATATGCTGTTGATTTGTTTATCATGTAAAATGTAGACAACATAATCATGATGGAGTCTGAGAACTCCTGCAAATGGCACTTCTCAAGTCCAGTAACAAATGGACCACCAGGAGAAAAAGTTATTGAAGTATCGTAGAGTATTGTTTGGATATATGGAATGAAATTGGATTTGCTGCTGGCTATTCTTTGTCACTCCTAAGCTCTGATTCATTAAAAAGATGTTTTAAAGGAACAAACAAGCAGAGCTGTGGCTAATGAGCATTTTAACCCAAAAACCAATATCCTCCCAATAAAGTAGTTAAAAAAGGCCCCCCCAACTACCAATTGCTGAAAAAAAGATATAGGTATCTTCTAAAATATTGGTGCTCCTGGAGTTTTTTCGTCACATAATATTTGTTTACACACAGTCTAGATAAAAGCAAAGGTGGTGTTTCTGTCATTATGGCTGGCACAGAATGTTTCTGAGGCCTTGCATAAATTATAAAAATACTTTCACTCTATTTCTTTTCTGACAAATATATTCCATAAATACCAATATATGATAAGATAAAATAAATTAAATTATACATATATATATATATATATATTATATTTATTTCTGAGAGAAAATGGTTTCTCTAAGAATGTAGAAGCAAATAGAAAACTGTTTTGGAAATGAATATGATAGACACATATTTTAAGCAAGGACAAGTTTTTCTTAAGGAACCTAAACATTTTAAATAGAGTTAATATAATCACATGGTGATTGCAAAATGCTCTGAATATTGTGGTCTTCATTATCAACATTGAATGCCTGATTCCACCTAATGAAAACCTTCCTGTTTACACTTTTGCTGAGTACACAAAATCTGGAAAAAACCAATCTGAGAAAGGTGAGAGAGGTGATTTGGTCTGGTGTGGTTTGGTTTGGTGTGGTTTAGGGGGTGTATGTATCTGTTTGGGGTTTTTTTAACAGGACCATTTGACCACAATCTTGAACTGACAAGAAAAAATGGGGTCTGGTTTCAGCAGTCAGAGGAAGAGGGATTGTTTATCTGCTAGGCACAAAGGAGCCCTCTGATCTGTCAGGCACATTCCCATCACACCTGGGACCATGCCTCCACCACAGAGCAGGTGAGCCCCATCCTTAGAGATTCTACCATTCCTTCTTCTACACAAATATTTTTAGTTGACTTTGGGTTGAACAAATGCATTCCAGCTGCAGTTATATAAACTGCAGTTGACTTTGTTGGCCTGAAATCCCTAAACATGCATTTTTATAGGAATCAGATAGTTCCTGTACCATGTGTATATAAAAATGGTAATTACTGAGTAAAATCTGTATGTTGCATTTATCTTCTTAAACAGTCTTCTGTATATTTCTGCTTTCTCTCAGTAGCTGAGTGGCAAAGACTACCTTTGACCAAATGAATGTCTCCCTAAAAAAGATAATGTTGTTCTTAAGTAAGGCTTGTAAGTTCCTCTAAAAGTTTTGGAAAGTATGGAAAAACTTCTAAAGAAATGTATCAAGAGACTGTCCTGGTTATTCTGAATTCATGAAATATCACAAAGTAATATTCATTAGCAAGTAGTCTTAAAATAAATTGCATGGGAGAATGATACCCTGAAAACCATGAGTTTATATATAAGTTTTGAGATAATTACAGCATACTGCCTATGGTTTGGGCTTTTTTTCTATTTTTTTTCCTCACAGCTCTTCCTGTCTTCTCCAGCCTAGATCTTTTAGTGGATGTGGGTATTTCTGCTCTCACAGAAACTAAGGAATACTATTTATGTCTTCCTACCACAGAATTCTTGAATAGATGTGAGCTGGGGTGCCATAAGAGTAAATTACAACTTCCTTTCAGAGCTTGATGAATTTACTGAAAGATGAAGACTGCATGGGTTTAAAAATATGAAATTTTCACCCATTCGTGGATTCTGTGTGTCTCCACAAGACAGCTGAGATAGACAAAATAACAGAACTTATGAAATTTGTTTATTAAAGTTAATTTTTCAGCAATCAAATGCTATTTTCATAGTCTCATAAATATTTAGTCAACATGCATTCTTTTTATTCCTACTATACTCCTGAGCAGTCTTATGAAGGTATGAAAAATACAGTCTTATGAAGGTATGCTATTAAAGGTATGCATTTTTTTAAACTCAAACAGTTGCTGAAAATTTCTTTAAAACACTTATTTTAACATGTGAGAAAATGATTCTTCTTTCTCAAAAAAGGCTAAACTACTTTTCCAACACCTGCAAGACAGTTTCCTTTCAAAGAGAGGAGAAACTTGGTGTGTTTTAAAAGAAAAGGTAAAAGTTGTGTAAGACTAGAAGCCACTGAAAAGTGATTATTGGAGTGAGAACTTGTATGCAACCTTAACTACAGATGTTGTTACTGACCCTGCATAGGGAATCACATGGAATTGATTAATCGGAGAAAAAATACCAAACCATCTCTTTCCTTATTAACAAAATCAGATTGAAAAATATGCACCTGCATTTTTCTTTAGTTTTGCTCATATTTTGCAGTAGAAAAGTTGTTGAGGTAGAGAAAGTAGCAGCACTGACACCTTTCCATTGATCATGATCATACATAACTTGCAGAACTCTAAATCTGTACCTGATTGCTACCCAGCATGCACATGGATACTGTGTATAAAGGTAAAAAAGGGATATTCCAGACACCTTTTCAATATCAGCAAACAATATTAAATGCTTAGGACAATATCTTTATGTAGGCGTTAATAAGAAAGAACATTATAAGGCTGTCTAATCTATATAGTCTTCTTTCTATTCCAAGACTGATGTGGTCACTGCTGAAGAGTTGAATTTGTCAAGCACAAGACAAAATAATGCATTTAATTTTTTTTTTTCTAGCAGTGGCAGCTGGATTTTGTGCTGACTTTCTGGCTGATTCTGCTTTCATTTGTTATGACAGATACAAACAGTTATTGGCTGCTGGGAATTTATACCATTTGAAGAACACTTTTCACATCTCAATCTATACATTTTGCTACAATGTTCAAATAAGGGATTTGCTGTAGATAATCTCAATATTCTTAAAATATTCTAGAATAAGCACAAGAGAGCTGGTTTGCATTACCTATTACTGTTTTCTGCAAGAGCCCTAATGCTGGTTGCCCAGTTATTTTTCTAGTAATATTTTTTGTTTCCTCTAAATTTCTTTGGAATTAAAATATCTGGTTACTAATATAATTTGATTTGTATTAATATTTAGGTTTTGGGTTTTGTTCATACTTTGGTTCAGGTTTATTTTTCTGTTTGTGTATAACCATAGTTTCAAAATGATTTGAAAATAAATGTAAATTAAAATTACTTATATTTTTAAATGTCCTTTTTAAAATATATGTATCTTTCTTTTTGTGGGTAAAAATAGTTTTAGTAGACAACTGAAAAAAAATTCCACTAATACATAAAGGATGTGGTTTGCTCCCACATACTTTTGTTAGGCAGTTTCCACTACTAGTAGTGTTGTCAGCCAGATGATACTGTTAGTATTATAGAATCATAGAATAGTTTAGGTAGGAAGGGACTTTTAAAGGTCATATAGTCAAACCTCCTCTGGTAGTGGCTGAATGAAGAATATCAGGACTATCTGATACAACAAATTACAACCATCAAGGCCTCTCTCTATATTATATTCAGTTTTATACTTACTGCTACAAAAATGTATAATTCCAAAGTGTTTTATATGCCTCTGTCCAGGAGCTGAAAATCACAGTTTGTGAGTCCAAAGTATACCTATTAGGCTGAGTTTAAATAGATAAATTTAACCAAAGTTATTTAAGTTAAAATCGGCTGCTAGGTCATCAATGATTAATCACAGAAGAGACCTAAGTCCAAAGGGCTACATCATTTTAAGGACAAAGGATATCTATAAGGAAACCTTACCATCACTGACACATTGATACAGCATGAGAAAACTTATGACAACTATGAAATTCCTTATCAAGAGCTTCTGGAAGCTGTCATTTTCCCATCCACTCTTTCATGCCTCTGGATCTGCCATAGCTCAGGCTTTGCACCATTCTGCCTTCTCCTCCTGGGTTGGCCCCAAGTGGCAGCCAAAACCCCACCCAGCCACTCATTCTCTCTGGCTGACCTCAGAAGGTTTAGGGCAGGAAACAGAAAGAGCAGTAAAAGGAAAGTCCAGGGGTCAAGATGTGAAATAGTGCATAAATTACCTGATTTTTTTGAAAAGAATATTTATTGAAAAAAACAAAACCACCAAAACATTAAAAAGTATGGGAAACACATTTTCTTCCCCTGTCTCATGCTTGACTTAATTCTAGACTCTTCCTTGCTCTTGCTATTGTGTCAGGATACTCTCAGTCTTTTCAGATTGGTGATGCACAACACAGGAAAGGAGTATGTTATGGTCAGAATGTAGTGGTTTCTCTCTTTCACTCCTCATTCTTTTCTTCTGCTCTTTTAAGGACTTTCCATGGATGGCAGCTCCTTCAGGAACATCCATCTGCTCTGCTGCTAGTCCTCCACAGGCTGCAAAGAACACTTGCTCTGGCGTGGGGAACCTCCTTCTCCTCCTCCTCTGACACTTGTGTTCCCTCTGCTGGTTTTCAGTTGTTTTTTGTGTGGTTTTTTTGTTTTGTTTTTTTATGTCTTTTTGGTTTTTATTTTGGTTGTTTTTGTTGTTTTTTTGGGGTTTTTTTTTGTTTTCCTCTCTCCCTGTAGTACTTTTGTCCCTAAAGTATGTTTTCACAGTTGGCACCAGCTTGGCTTGGCACCAGCCATGTCCTGTGGTGGGTTAGTTTTGAAGCCAGCTGAAAACATCTGTGTCCAGAGAAGAGCAGTCCATGCCTTCTCCTTTCAGAGGCCACCCCTGCAACCCTCTGTTACCAACAGCCTGATTGATGCACCCAATACACAATCATACCCTTTTTTTAATTCAAATGCCCTCAGAAGAAGTAGAATTATCAGTGATACTGAAAGTTCTGCTCTAGTCAAAACGGTGGAATATATACACAGCTTTGAAAAAGAGATCCCTTATTGAATTGTTTAAATCTGGTATTCCTAATCTATTTTCAAAAACCTTGGGAATCTGATAATATTAAAGGCAGCAGCTGAACAGAATGCCTCAGATGTAATTGTGTGACTATAAAAGTATTTGTGAGCATCTTCTTGGATAAATAATGCATCAATATTAGATCTACTTTTATTTAGCTAATTGAAAAAAAGCTCTAGATTATTTTTACTTACTTTAAGTAATATAAAGTTCTTTAGAATTATGAATTTCTATAATAATTTTACATTCCATGAAAATATTATTAAATATAAAATATTACTTTAAATGTATGTATATATAAAAAAAAATTGTTCCTTTCCTGTAGCTTATGAAACCATCCCTTCTTTTATTGACTTTAGTTTTTGAAAGAAAATATTTTGAAATTGACTATTTATAATAAAACCATGATCACGCTATAGAAGGGCTGCCTCTACTACCCTTGTACTGCCCTTGTTACTGCCTACAAAACATCCAGTTCTCTGCTATCTGTGACAGAGCTTACAGGAAACAACTCTGGAAACCTATTTCTCTTGCATTTTTAAATGTTTTTTCCCATTGTCTCTAAATATAAGACAATATATTTCAAAGTATGTAACATGAGGTAATGCATTGAATTATACTACTATGCCACCTACAGCCACATGTATGCATTTCTGCCAGAAAAGCTTTTTCCTTAGGTAAAAATAATTACACAAAAAGCAATCTGATCTAAACATGCAGTGCAGTGTCTCTGTTTGTGTTCCCTCTCTTCCAAGCAAACATAGCACTGATGAAAACATACTGAGCTCTCGGTAGTTTATAGAGGAAAAAGTATTGATTGGTATAATTATCTTTTCAGTCAAAAAAGCCTGAAAGAAAAACTAAAACAAAAACTCCCCAAATATAATAAAGACTGCTTCTACATTGTTTTTATGCAATGAATAAAGTTTTAATGCTTTAATGTTGTCTTAAAATTGGTTATCTTTGCAGCGCTCATTTACCTGGTACATGAGACTGATAGAAAAAAATAGAAAACTTCAAAGGTTTATACACTGTGTGCCATGCACACTTTAAATGAGTGATGTCTAAATAAATATTTGGAGTAGTTGACATATCAGAATTTTTTTCACATTTACCATCTTTTCCCTGTTGGATATAACATTAAATGTTATGTAAAAGATTTACTATAGCAATTTTGTAGCCAATTACTTTTAAGACATTTTCTCCCCTTAAAATATAATTGCCTGAAGAAATGTGCAGCCTAGAATAATATAAACTAAAAGTGGCGTGCTTTACAATTTCACAAAGATGGTCAGCCTTTACCTAGCAACGAGACAGAGCTCTAGCTATCCTAGCATTACTGCCTGTTGTGATTCTCATAAGCTGCTGCTAGTGCTGTAATTTCTCTTTCCCAAATGCCCTGAAAAACACTCTCAAGCTTGAAAGTACAGTTCCTTAAAAATATATTTGTTTCCTTTACAAAAAAAGATCTGTCTTTGAATATGAAAGGTTTAAAATTTTGCAAGCAGTGGAATGTACAAAGGAACACTTTTTTTGGCTCAAATAAGCTCGGTTTGCAGCACTGCAAAGATGCAGCCCTTAACCAATGTAGGGTTTGATGCTTCGGATTTTCATTTTATTAAAATTTCCAAGATGCATTTTCCCAGTATGCTGTAAAAATATAAAATCAGTTTTTTCTTCCCTCCCTTTCTTCTGCCTTTTTAACTCAATGCATAGAGCATGAGAGCGTCTTTAATACTCTCTGCTTACAACACAGATTTAGAGCTGCTGTGTAAGGAAATCCCGAATCTCTACATCAAAGAGAGAAGCCCAATAGCTTTAAGAAAATGTCAACGTAGCAGTGATGCACTTAAAAGAAGATCTGCTACCACACCCATGTGCAAGGTCGCAGAGGGCCTGGTAAGGGCTGGGAAGTGTCACTCAGGGTGGGCAAATGTCAGCACTGTCGGTTCCTGCTGGAGCAGGGCAGCCAGGGAAAAGGCGCTGCAGCGTTGCTTAAGGCCATTCTGTACCAGGGGTGGAAACAGTCCAGGGAGTTACTTTCACATCACTGCAAATTATACCTGTTGAGTGGAAAGATTTTAGGAACTTTCACAAGCTTAAAGACATTCAGAGAGATTGGCTTGAAGAGAAATAGAAAAGCTTTTGCAGCCCATGTATTTGAAGAGGAGACAATGAGTAGGGAGTAGGGAAAGAGGGAGGTAGTCCTGCTTCCGTAAGACCCAGTTATTTTTTTCAGCCACAGATACTTCAGAGCTCATTGCTGGCACTGCATATTTGTGAGGCTGTTCAAGGGACATTGAAACATGTAGTCTTCCAAAAGTGAAAAGAACATGGGAATAGAAGGGAAGACAAAATATTGCAGATATGAAAAAATCTTCACTGGTACATCTCTAAGGAAAAAGAACTGGAGCAAAATACAAGTGAAGACAAAAGAAGTGCTAACAGGTGCAGTGAAGATGAGACAAATCACAGAATTACAGAAAGGCTGGAGTCAGAAGGAAACTCTGAGGATCATCTGGCCCTATCCCTCAGTTAAAGCAAATTCACATTGAGCAATTTGCAAAAGATTGTGTCTAGGTGGGCTTTGAATATCTTCAGAGGTGGAGACCCCACAATCTCTTCGGGCAGCCTGTTCTAGTGCTCTGTCACTTTCAAAGTGAGATTTTTTTTTACCTCATAATCAAATTAACTTCTTATGTTTCAGTTTGTGTCCATTGCCCCTGGTCCTGTAACTGAACACCACTGAAAAGAGTCTAATCCCATCTTCTCAATGCTCACCTTTTGAACATTTACATGTATAATGCTCTTGAACAGCTGAATGTAAATTAAAAAACAAAAAAAAAAAAACAAAAAAAAACCAGGTATAAATGCTTCTCATAGAGGAAAGAGAATGATTGAGCTTTGATGAATGGGACATATTCTGGAGGTGAGGAGCAAGTGGAATACTACCATGCTCTGTCTCGGGGCCTTCAAACATTTTTAATAAGGACATGGGGGGCAATGATTCCTTCTTAAAAAGTTTTGCAGATGACTCCAAATTGAAAGAACATCTGCTGTTAAGGAAAGCCAAAACAGGAGTTCCAAAAGGAACTCCAAGCAAGTCACCAAGGACAATGCAGAGACTTCCTGACAGTGCTGCAGGTTGGGCATTGAGTGACTGGGAATCCAGAAAAGGCCCTGGGTCACCACTGAGGTGACCAGCACCAATAAGAGCAGTGTGGCCAGCAGACCAAACAAAGGAATTGAATCATCCCGAGACCTCATCTGACTGCTGCATCTGGTTTAGGTCCCCCAGTACATGAACAGCATCATTAAACCAGAGTGAGTTCTGTGGAGACCACAAAGGTTGATGGGGCTGGAGCACTTGCAGGTAATATATAATGTCCCAGATTGCAAGGCAAGATGTATTCCCTTTCCCATCTGTATGGCAGTTGTCTTCTGTTAACTGGGCAGTTTTCCTTATCTCTTCCACAACCAATTCTCCCACTGGGGAGACATCTGCTGTTAATGGGCTATTGAATGTCACTGCATGGCTGATAAAAGTTACAGCATCCCATTGTGAGATGCTCCACCCAGAGGGAGGAGCCAAGCATTCCTAACTGGATATAATCTGGGTTTTTGGTACACCAGATTCAGCTTTTCCACTGGATTTCCAGGAGACCTGCAGCAGTTCCAATTTGGACTACTACCAACATCCTGACCAAAAGGGGGTCGGGGTCAAGTTGTACTCTGACTTTGTCAGGGATTTTTCTTTTGTATTATTGTATGTATTTTGTTTTCTTTTTCCCTTTTCCTAAAAAATAGTATTTCTGATTTGGAGTCTCTCTCTGGTTTTGCTTTCAAACCAGAACATATACATTGCAATAATAATCAGGAAATAGAGTAATTTCATCCAGAAATATTACAAGACCAGGTATTCAGCGGTCATAGTCATTTTAGGGTTTGGCAAGCAAGACAGAATCATCAATAAAGCTATTTCCAGCCCTTCAGATTCCAAGATAATGAAAAAACTGGGAGATGAAGACACACAGATATACCACCTGCTTTTAGGAACAAAAGTTCACATCTTAATCTTTGAAGCTGAATAAATAATTAGCTTTCAAGAGCAATTTCTTGGACACATAATCTTAGTTTGAGATAGCAAACTCATTGAAAAAAATCTTTTACTTCAAATGATAACATTTTTAAGATTCTGACATTACAAACTCTTTTAATCACTTTATTTCCCTTAGAGGACATGAAAATCTTAAGTAAAGGATAGAGTGTGGAGTGTGTCTGTGGAATGGCTCTTATAGCAAGATAAGGTTAGGAACAGGAGGAACAATGGGTAGAAATTTTATTCCAGTAGAATTAGATTATATATAATGCCTTTTTTTTTTTTCCTCATCATGTTTCCTTCTTTCTTTGACTTAAATCATAGTTTCTGGCTGCCTGTGGGTAAATCTGAAAACTCGTAAGCTCTTTTTTTCCTCTCATGCCAGGAAAAAAATTTCATAGGCCAACTTATCCTATTACAAAACCTATGTCTGTCTTCAATGTCTTTCATAACTTTCTCTTGGGCAAGATTCAGAATCAATATTCTACCCTTGCTTTCTGTAGTCTATTAGATGACCTTGAGCCCATGAGAGATATTTTATTGTTAATTTTGTCTTTCTATTAGGTTCCATGGTTTTGTCCTATCCTAAATATGCTTTCAAGTACATCTTTAAATTCTAGTCAAGGTATCCCCAAAATGTCTGCAATAGGTCACCAAGATTTTTTTCTGGAATTCTGGATTCCTTTCCATCATCCTTTTTACTTGAAAAAATTCATTCAGTTCCTCTCTTTTTCTGGGTCTGACTCACTGTGTCTGAGATTAAATTTGCATGTATGGTCAAATCAAATTCCTAAATTTCATTTGAAGAAAGCTCTTCTCCCTCATTTCTCCTCATCTGTTCTCAGATACTGTGAACACCATCAACATCTTGTCAAACTGAGATTACTGCTGAGATGTTATGTGCTATTTCTTCAGGGACTGCAATTTTCCTACATATCATTAATAATATCTGTATTTTCATTGTCGTCACTCTTGCCGTTTCAGGCATTCATCATCTTGCATTTCAATTTACATTCACTCTGCTCTTGCCTGAGAAAAGTTTAATTGTACCTGGAGCAATATATCAATTGTGATCAGTCAATCAATGCCCAGCTGTTTTCCTGCCTTTTGGTTATTCAGACAAGTATATTAGTGAAATTTTCCTTTTAAATACTCAGAAAATAACTTTTTTGACTTTTATTGTGTCTAAATTCTCTCTCTTGCTGTGATATCTATATGGACTGTTCCATAACTGCCACACACAGAGAATAGTAAGATCCTCCTCTGACAATTTAATTTATTATACTTTGCCATATTTTAATTTCTTTCCTATAGAAAATTGTTGCCTTCATACTGAAATTGTAAGTTAGTCTTTTCCTGAGTTGTTCGTAAATATTTGAACTATGTCTAACACAGTCAACATTTTTGTAGGCTAAATAACAAGTAACACTACTATTGCTGCTACCATTAATAACACTCTTAGAGTCTATGGTAAAGATTGACAGAAGAGGAGAAAATTATTTTTAAGAACAATGTATCACATTTTGGCTTTGTTTTAGAAGAGATTAGAGTGTGTTCTTTTCTTACCTTGCCATAGAGTGGAAAGAAATTACCTATATTTTTCATAAGCTCCTATCTACAAGCAACAGAAGGTGGTGAAAAATAAAATAGAGTAGATGTGGAACAAGAAAAGGAAAGAATTGGGAGAAAAGAAGAAAGAGGATCAGAGAGAATCTCTTGACAAGTTTTTCTGACATGTTCTAGTCATTCCCATGTGCAGATGGCATTTGATCCCTTATCTATGCCTGCATTATTAATTCTGAGCAGACATATTTGCACTCAACAGCAAAAAAGCAGAAATG